TCCCATCTCCTTTTCCATATCTCTCTCTTCTCTTACCTCTGACTGGAAGTGTTGCCTGCTGGATTTATCAACATGCATAGCATGCTGGTCCCTTCTAAACCTCACCACTCCCTCTCTTTCTGAATCATCCTGTCGACCAAGGGATGGGGAGCTTCTCCTGACTGGGGAAGGCTCACGATGGCTTTCATAAGAGGCAGAGGTAAGTTCATATTCCTCATAAGGACGCCCAGTGAGCTGGGTTGGAGAGTATTTCTGAACTGATGAAGCCTGAGAGTCCTTTTGATATCTCACAGGGGCATCAGGTGCACCCACATGGTGCAGCAAACTAGCATCTGCAGCGGGGTGCCTGGCCATAGAAGCCTCAAAAGGAGGCGGCAGGTCACGCTTTGCAATGGGCTGAAAAACTGACGGTTTTTCTGTTGAAGATAAATGTGGAGGTGGGGGTTCATGAGACATGCCACTATGATGGGGCTCACAATAAGTCAGGGGCAGTTGGGGCCACTCAGACTCAAGCTCAGCTGTATCCTCTTGTTCAACTGCATCCTGTTGCCATTTTAATATGCGCTGAGCCAGTGCTTCTTCCTCACTTACAAAGTACTCGCTGTCCCTCTGCAGCCTTGTCACACGGCCCTCTGTTGGCAGTTCACCAGCCAGAGGCCACTGCAGAGTTTCACCCTCCTGACCTTGGAAACCAGCAGGAGCAGACTCACTAGAAACACATTTCTCTCTGACTGTGTTTGCCGATTCTAGAGCAGAGGCCTCTGCGAGATTTGTTCCTGCCTCAGTGGTCTTCCCTGCCTGGAAAGATGAGTAACCTTGAAGTTCTGCAGTCTGCTCTTGCTCCATTAAAACGTCCTGTTGCCACTTTCTTATTCGCTGAGTCAAAGCCTCCTCTTCACTAATAAACTTCTCACTCTCACTCTTCAGGTCTGAGATGTTCTCCCTCGACAGCTGGAGCTCCTTTTCTGCTCCCGTCTTCTCAAACAGCATCTTCTCTGCTCTAGCTTTTGTTTCAGATCTAGACTCATATTCAGCTTCTGCTGCTTTAGCTTTAAATCTCTGCGATTTCTGTTTCTCATGTTCCACTTCTTCTACGTTTGTTTTCATTTGTCCTTTGACCAACTGGGCAGATGTTTCAAGCTGCTCTGCTACACCTTTGACTTTAGGTGCCGTAGGCATTGGCACAGGAGCTATCTTTTTCTCCATTACTTCTTGCGGGGTGTGAATGTGCTCCTCACTCTCCTTGTGCTGTGTGCCTGCTGGAATAGGTAGATCGGTTTCTGAGTTAAATGCCTCCTCTTCTGATATCCTCATGCCTTCCTGCCTGATCCCTAAGGGAAGGCGTTTCTCTTTGCATTCAGTTCCTCCAGTTTCCAGCTTCTTCTCATACGGAGCTCTAAAAAACTGATCACATGGCTCAACCTGATTTTCCCCTTTGCTGTCTGGTGTTTGTTTCTCACTAATACATCTCTCTGAAATTCTGAATCTGTCCTCTGGCCTTGGTTTTGTTCTTGGTGACTTTTGGGACTTTTGCATCAGCGTCTGTAGTGCTGTGTCTTCTTCTAGCCCAATTGTCACTGTGGAAGCTTTTGTACCCACAGAGGCAGACCTTTCCACTTCTCTGCTTCTCATCTTTATTGTAGATGTGGGTGTTGATTGAGCCGTTCCTTCAGGATTATCTTCCCATGCTTCTTTTTTGAGTGATTCATGAAAAGAGGCCTCAGTTTCCACAGCTGCTCTTTTCTCCTGCTGGTTGTAAATGTGCCCTGTGGGCTCTGTGGACTTCGCCTCAGGGACAATGGGCAGATCAGTTTCAGGATCATATGTCTCCTCTTCTGACATCCTACTCCCTTGCTGCCATTTCCTGATCCTCAGGGCGAGGAGTTTCTCCTCACAAGCTATTCGTTCAGCTTCCAGGCTCTTCTCATAATGAGCCCTCAAATCCTCCCTAGCGAATGCTTCTTTATCAGCTATTTCTGTTGCTGCTGTGTCTTCTCTAAGAAACCTCTCTCTGGTAGATGTGACTGACTTTGGCATTGACTGTATGAGTAATGCTTCTTGAGAAGGCAGACTTTGAACAGGTTCCCCACTTTCAGTGTACATTGTAGTTTCTGGGTAAACCGCTTTCTCACCGAGCGGTCCTTCAAGGTTACATGCTGTCATCCCCACATTTGTAACCTGCACCTTATGGTCATCAACCACATCTGCTTGTATTTCAACAAAACCCTGAACTTTTTTATCCTCTAGATTCTCTGAATGTTTGTTGTCTGATGTCTTTTCTGTTTCCGACACACTTGTACTGACCAGCTCACCTCTCATTAATTGGATGGCCCTGGTTCTCGACTGAGGCTCGAATGAATGTCTAACACAAGGCTCGGTGGGATCCCTGCTAGAGGTTTTACCTTGAAACTCCCTATACGTCTCGCCCAAATCAAAGGGTCGATTGAAGTGCTGAACATCAGGCAGAGAAGCAGGCTTGACCCTAAGTCTCTCAACATAATCTGCATAACTTGACTCGCTGGCAACAGATTCTAACTCAAACTCAGAGGAAGACATGGTGGAAATAGAAAGCCTCTTTTTCTGTTTGACAGCTTTTTGGAGTGTAGTAAGTTTTGTTCTTACCTCATTGTGGAGACTCTCAGTGTCACTGAACCTCTCACTGTATCTGTCACTGCACCTGTCACTGAACTTATCACTGAACCTGGTGCCGGTGCGTCGGTCACAGTAGATGTCACTGAATCTGTCGTTGAAGCGCTCAGATCTGTCAAACATCGGGGTAGGAGACAGGGCACGCTCAGAGGCAGTTTCTAACCGCTTAGACTCCTTTTCTGGCTCCTTGTCTTCTGAATGGGAACCAGGCATGAAGTACACAGTACGCACAAGAGCACTCTTAGATCGAGATCTACCCTGATGGACCTTGGACATTTTGTCAAAAGGAGACCCGACATATCTGAGGTCAACCCTAAACTTCCTCTCTTTCCTCTGCTCTGCCATGGTATCGATGCTCTCGTGAGCTTTAGCAGTGCGTCTAATAAAGCCAAGATAGTTAGCAGACTGCTCTTCCCTCAGTGACACCAGAAGTGATGCTGTGGATTCTGCAGAACCCTCTGTGTTTATTGCCATTATCTTATAACTGCCCGAGTCCTTTTCTTTGACACCATGAATAACTAGACTGGTAGTGTGAGCATGCATTTTGCTGTCAGTGTAGATCATGCGTCTATGCTCTTTCGGTATAGATCTGTTATTATGAAACCAGAGGATCGTAGGAGGAGGGCAGGCAATCAGTTTACATTTGAACTCTGCTGCCTCCCCTTCTAAGACGGACTGAAACTTAAGTTTCTTTGTGAAAGATGGTTTAATGTTTTCTGTCCATGAGCTGATGGATGAAGTCCTGCTGGAGCAACGATTGGCTGACACCAGGCCATGATCTATGAAATCCTCAGTGTCGGAGAAGGCTCCTCTAAGCTGCCAAGTGGCAGTGAGTTCTGTGCTGCAATGCACAGTTTCTTCTTTTCTTTGAGGACAGAACAGCTCTGCAAACAGAAATGGACAACTGTCAGACCAACACAGCTTCCAGGGGTAAAAACTGAAAAAAGGACTTGAATGAATCATTAATGGAAATATTAAATGCATGCAAGGACTCACAATGCCATAAGAAAATTCACTCACCATATTTGTTCGAATAAACGCAAGACTTGATTCTTTTTATTAGAAACCTGCAGGAAGTTTTGATCCTTCGTCTGTGGAAATTTCTTCAAAACATATATTATTTTGTTGTGATTAAAGAAGCATATTTTCAAGATGGACTGCTACCGTTTGCGTGTTTTAGTTCTTGAAACTTGTTTTATGCTAGAATATTTCTTACCTGACTTGCAGACAGAAGAATAAACGCCCTTTCTAATCCTTAAACTTAAACAGGGAATGAAAGATGCACACGTATGAGATGCAGAACTCTCTAAAAACAAATATTATATTCCAAAATTAACCAATGAAGCAGCAGAATTTGGTGAGACGGCGTTTATTCGAACTAATATAGGTTTACTGGGGTTATTTAGAAAGCAAACCACAGGAATCACATTCCACTATCTGCAAGCCAGGCTAAGAAATATTTTGCAGGAGGAAGGTATCAGTTCCAGATTCGGCAATCCTCCATGTCTTTAAAAAAATACAGACCCGCGTTTTTCTGGGAAGAAAATCAGATGAACTTTCATGCCAAAGATAAATAAACTTTTGAATGCAAACTGCTCAAGTTCAACAAATTCTCACCTGAAGGAAACCACAAAATATTATCAAAGTAAGACCAGATGCAATATGAAAGATAATTTAGAAAGAGTTTCCTACCAACATATA